TTACACAACCTTCAAAGTCTGTGTACAGATAGATCTCAGCGTCCATAAATAGGCCCGGGATTTCTCAACCCCACAACAGGAAATGATGTTGAAATATTCCTGCCTGAACTCTTAAGGGTTAAATCTGTATCAGACCCTCTGGAAGCACAAGTGGCTAGTGTTCAGGTTGTAACTCAAGACAGTTAAAACCACCTCTGGTTGTAACCCAAGTTTTTCTTATGTTAGGCTGGTCATAACTCAGAAAGGTCCACTGTAGTGTGAATCATGCTGCTATGAACATGGATGTAAAGTTACATCTTGAAGACCTGATTTTTTTTTTCTCCCTGGGTACCGGGGATCGAACTCATGTCCTTGTGCTTTTGAGGCAGACCACCGAACCACTGAGCTAAATCCTTGGCCCTTAAGACTTCTGATTTTAATTCCTTTGGGACTCGGGTGAGGTTGAAAGATATTTCAGTTTATGTTTTGATTGTTTCTTGTGTTTTGGGAAGTTGGTGTGTGCAGGCTGATCAAGGCCTTGCCGTGATGGTGCCACTGTTTTACCTCTTGGCGGTCATTGGTGGGTTCGCAGCAGCAGGTGAATCAGCCCAAAGAAGACGGTTAAAGGCCACGGGTGTTGGAAGCTTTTTTCTGACTTTCTGGCCTCCTCTTCAGTGTCCTCATCAAGTAGTTTTCTGGCCTTTGCTGTACTGCCTGCACCGATGGGGTGGTGCTTCAGTTACTCTGCACCAGGTTCATCGTTGGACAGCAGTGGCGAAGGCAGTCATTTTTTTAATAAGTACGTTTGCAGTACATTCATTTTATAATCATCTTGGGGAGGGAGTGGGTACATTTGCATAATAAGGCTTTTTTATTAATCTCCCTCATTCCCCTTCTTTAATTGTCTTTTCCCCATTTTTATTCCTACTGATATTATCAATCTTACCTCCTGTTTGTGGCATTATAACGTTTACATTCACTGAGGTTACTAGGTTCCTGTGTATGGGATGTCTTCACTTATTTTCCCTTCCACTTCCCCTCACCCCTTGGAAGTGATTCATAATCGAGAGAAAAAACTGTCTTCCATGTAATATCTGGGAGGCGGGGGTGTCCTCTCTGGACTCTGCTCAGCAGGTAGACAGGCCTGACACACAGGTGCTCAGTGTTGCATCCTGCAGTGGAGCAGTGGGGTAAAGAGAACACCCTAAGGCAACAGATCCAGAGGGGTGAGGAAGGCTTTGTTATTTTTATCAATGATTTCTAACCTAATGGTCAGAGAACATTGTGTGGCTTCCAATCTGTAAAATTAGTTGGAATTCAATTCATGGTCAAGCATGTAATCAATTTTTGAAATGATTTTTATGCATCTGAAAAGAATGTAGTCTGCAGATGTTGAGGACCACATCCCAGTTTTGGTCAGGTCATTTGTCCATCCTGTTGTCCCAATAGTCAACATCCTGGGTTGTTTTGTGGTACTGGGGATTGAACCCAGTGCCTTACAGTTGTTAAGGAAGTGCAGTACTGCTGAGCTATATCCTCATTCCCCCCAACCTTTTGAGATAGGGTCTTGCTCTGTAGTCCAGGCTTCCCCTTAAGCTCACAATCCTCTTGCCTCAGCCTCCCAAATGCTGGGATTACAGGCATGCACACCAAGTGTAGCTGCTCTCCAGCCAGACTCTTAATGACACAGAATAAGAATGTTTTAACGGAATTTGAGGCAGTTTTGTTACTCAGTATTGAGGCAATAACTAGCTGGTACAAGAGGTAGATTATGACTGCTGGAAACCCTTCGGGAAAATGAGCATGCACCCTGGGCTTGACCAGGTGGTAGAGTAGCAGTAGAGGAGCCCTGGGGTTTCCAGAGCCTGCTGGGAACCAGTGAGGGGAAGGATTCTGGAATCCAAAGCCATCATGACGAAGCCATCTTGCTTGTTCTCTGGGCTGGAGGCACTTGGGAAAGCATGGGCTGCTGGCATCTTACTCGCTCCCCATGCTTCTCGTGGCCACCCTGATGATGCTCTGACTTGGGATCCCATGGACCTGGACTGTTACTACCTGTGTGTCTCTGCCTGCCTGTTTTGTTTTTTTGTGTGATAATAACATTCCAAATCTACTCTTGTATGCTTCAGAATTGTCTAGTACTCCACCATGTGACTTTGACAATTACCCATCCTCCTGAAGGGTGTGTGGACAGTTTCTAGTGCAGCTGTTATCAGTAGTGCCCTCATGTGCATCTTGTCCTCGGATTTTGGGGAGCTCTTGTACACACTATTGGTTTTTACATGTCTAGGAGTGGAATTGATGTGGACAGATTCCATTAGGCCACTTACGACTTGCCAACTTTGTCTACTGTAGCAAGTTATGTCACTGCTGGAACTCACTTTTTAATCTGTATATTGGAAATAAAAATACCCTCCCCGCAGTGTTGTGACCAGGACTTAATAAATCTTCACCGTGACCTTGGAAAGTCTGCCCTTCCCCAGTCTGCTCCCCTGCTCCCCTTTGTGACTGGTACCAGGGTATCCTTGGCACTCACTGGCCATGTTCATTGTCGCTGCTAGAATTTCATGACCTCCCGGGGACAGGCCCAGGCTGGGTATTAGGAATGGAGAGACAGAAAGGTTGGTTGGGATTTAGCTCAAGAATGCAGAATAGATGTTCCTTTCTTGCCAGGTCTTCCTAGTTCTCCAGATAGGAGTTTTATGCCCTTGTATTTCTTTTCTCTTCCTTGAACACCTTGAGTCAGGCCTGTTGAGTGACACTGAGCCTAGTGAAAGCAAGCCATAGCAACAGGAAGCTTGGTCTGATTTCTATCACTATGTAGGGGTAGGATCATACTGAGGATTCTGAAATATCCAGGTCAAGGAAAAGAGCTATGATCGGTTAGTTATGCCTGTTGTGTGCATGGGAGGTGTTGGTGATGTACGAAGTACTTATTCTGACTCAAAGGCACTGACTGTTACAGGTCAGAAGGGACATGTACCTTATGAGTTGTTTTTTTAAAGTAGATGAGTTAAATCCCTTGCCATTTGTACAATATATTGATATATTTGGAATTATTTTTACTATTAATTTCGTACTTGCTGTTTATTATTCCCTTTTTGAATTTATAAAGGTTTTCTGTAATCTGGTCTCTTGCCTAGTTTAGAAATATAAAATGTTTTATCTTAGAGAATAAATTTTTTATTGTACATATTTTTCACTTATTGTCCTTCTGAACAGTACCCTTCCCTACTATTTTTTTTTTTTTAAATCTAGAAGGCTGGGTCTTGCTTTGTTGCTTCAGCTGGTCTCGAACTTGTGGGCTTTAAGTGATCATCCTGCCTTAAGCTTTCTGAGTAGCTGAGACTACAGATGCCACCACTATGCCCAGTGAGAAACTTATTTATTTTTGGGGTGTGTGTGTGTGTTTATTCTTCTGGAGATTGAACCCAGGGCCTTTACATTGAGGTACATCTCTAGTCCCTTTTATTTTTATTTTTAAATTTTGAGGAGGGGTCTTGCTAAGTCACTAATTTGGCAAGCTCTAACTTGCCATCCTCCTGACTATTTCACAGAGTTCTGGGATCACACGTGTGCACCGCCATGCCTGGCTTTAAAATCATTTTATTTTTATTTATTTATTTATTTAATTTATTTATTTTTTGGTACCAGGAGTTGAACTCGGGACCTTGCGCTTTGCAAAGCAGATGGTGGTGGCACCACTGAGCTTAGATCCCTGACCCTAAAATCATTTTAGAAAATTTGCAAAGATGATATGAAGAATACCATATATGTTACCTAACTTCTAATATTCATATCTTACAAAATGATGGTACATGTAAGAAAACTAAGAAAATAACATTGGTATAGTAGTGCTCCAGACTTTATTTGGATTTCAAGTTTTTGCACTCCTATCTTTTCTGTCCCAGTGTTGAATCCACGATACTACCTTGTGTTTTAGTGCATGGTCCTGGGTTCAATTCCCAGCACCAAAATAAAAGTATACAGATGAGTAAAATAGTAAGAAACATTTATTTATATACAGTAAAATTTGTGACGTCTTAAAAAAATGATGAGCTTCTGACCGATTTGTTTTGCTCAAACCCCACATCTGAGTAATTCCTCCTTTTCCTGTTCTAACTGGCCTACGATTTACAGATGCATCCCCTCCGGATGCTTTCATTTCCCTTGCTTCCTCTATGGCAATTCTCTAGTTGTAAACTAAGGAGTTCCTAAGGTCACCACATAGGGGTGCCCTCCCCCCGTAAAATATTAACTTTAGAGAAACACTTGAAGGGACAAGAGTGGAATGGTGGCAAAATTAATATTTTTAAAAATTGCAGATTAGATTTTTTTTGCTGAAAACCTTAAGAAAGACTTAAGTCTTCATCTTGTTATTTTATTTATTCATTTATTTTTGGGTTTTTTTGAGACAGGGTCTCACTATGTATTTAAGACTGACCTGGAACTCACTATGTAGCCCAGGCTGGTCTTGAACGCACAGCAATCCTCCTGCCTCAGCCTCCCGAGTGCTGGGATTACAGGCCCCTGCCACCACACCTGGCTTCATTTGTTATTTAAAAAATACATACATTTTAATTTCATGACCAGATAACACATTTGCATATATTTACATGTAAAGGTCGTGGTCTCTTTCCCACCCCACAGTTACCTAGGTGCCCTCCCTAGAGGCATGTGCGGCCTCTCCACATTAGTAACGAAAGCTTCTGCAACTCTGGGAGCATATTCTTACACAATTCACTTAAGCCGTCTTCATGGACACCTGGGTCGGACCTTTGTACTTACCCCATTTCCTGCCTGTGTGGGTATATGTATAGGATGAAGTCTTAGATCCTATCCCGATCATTGAATAGCTATTGTCAAACTGCCCTCCAGGGAGGTTGGATCAATTTACAGCCTCACCATTGTTAGGGACCCTGCCTTTGCCAGCAGGGTATCTGTAAGTTTTTTGATATTTACCATTCTGCTAGGTGCTGGGAGAGAAAGGCACCCCAGGGCAGTGGATTTCATAAGCCTTTTATTCTGATGAGCGGCCTATTTTTCCATGCCTTTCTGAGACCCTCCTCCTGCTGGTGGGTTACTTTCCCGGTCCGAGGATCTTCTGGGAGTTGGTCTCCTCTCTTTCTGACTCTCTCGTGTCACTTTCACAAACAAGCTTTTGGGGAGTGAAAGTCTGAAGGACAAATTTAGGTTGGTTGTCAGCGTCATCAACATTCCAGATATCGGAGGTGGAAAGCCCTGGGGAGACCTGCGGGCCTTCAGCATTCTGCTCCGGATGGGGAAGGGTAACCTCCAGAGGGCTTGTGCCGTCCTCTTCCTCCACCGGGCTCCTGTTGACACAGGCAGCCTCGTGTTCCTCCAGCTTTTTGATGGGGACCACGTGGCAGGCGTTGTATTTGCAGCTGGCCATCTTCTTGGCTTTCTTGGGGTTCTTTCTCTTGCAAGATGCCAGGTGGTACTGTAATCTGCTGAGTGGAATTTGGTGGTGAGGATTGTAAGGACAAATTTCTAAGACCTCTGGATCCATGAGAAGTCCTTGAAGTTGAGTATCCCAATGCCCAGAGTCTAAAGGAAATACATCTTCCAGTAGAGGGCTTTTGTAAGAAATTTAGAACTGTCTGTCCTCTGCCCACTGGTGGCCCTCGGAACTCTGTTGGCTCTGTCACAGACGCTCACAGGAGGACAGAGTTAGCAATTAGTGCGTGGTGTAGAAGAGATATATAAAGCAGAGGTGAGGGCGCAAACCCACAGCAGCCACACTGGAAGGTGGAGAAGGTATATGGCACCCTTTGACTTGGAGGGAAAGGATACACTGTGATGCCGAGGAACACTCACCTGTGGTCACAATGGGTGGCTTTGCATCATCAAGTAAGGACTGCTACTTGTCCCATATGTGGGAGAAGTGAGTGGATTTGAGGAAAGACGCTATTTAAGATTATTTGTGGCATCCATGCTGTCCTTGAAGTCTTCTAACTGACTACATTAGTATAATAGAACTTGCAACATATTTGGGTTCAAGTCTGCCATCTCATTTTGGGCTTTCTAACCTATTCTTTGGCATAGTTTTCTTTCCTCTCCTCCCTTCCCTTATTTTTATTTTTGGCGGTGCTGAGAACCAGGCCCAGGGCTTTGTGTATGGTTGGCAAGTGCACTGCCACTAAGCTATATCCCCAGCCCCCTTCTCTTATTTTAGAAAAGACAGTTTAAAGACATCCTTATATTTCACTCCACTATTCTGCACATTTTCATGTGCTTTAATGATTACAAGTTAAAAATATTCATAGATAATTTATCAAAGTTTAAAAATATATCTACTTTCTGGGTAATATGGGGCTTTTCCTTCATTTGTTTCACTCCCAAGTCTTTGTTTTCTGTTTTTAACCTTAATTTTAAAAGCCTCATCAGATAGTGTTGCTGCTGTCATCTTGTAACCTGAAACTTTATTTACATTTTTTTTCCTCATATTTAGTCCTTTTCATTGCTGTTCTCTTCTTCCTTGTATCTCAGTCCTACTGTGTAGGATCACTGTCCTTCTGTTTGAAGTTTTACATTTATTTATTTAATTTCGAGACAGGGTCTTGCTATACAGTTGAAGCTGTCTGTGAGCTCACTGTGTAGCCCAAGCTGGCCTCAAACTTGTGGTGATCCTCCTGCCTCAGCCTCCCCAGTGTTGGGATTACAGGTGTGTGCCACCACACCCAGCTTCATTTGTTTCTGAAACAAGGTTTTCTGTATTCCTGAGCTCAAGCAATCTTCCTGATTCAGCCTCCTGAGGAGCTAGGATTAGAGACAGGTACCACTACACCTGACCTGAAATCTTTAGAAACCTCTTTTGACAAACTTTTCAGGTTCTATTTGCCTGAAAATGTCTTTGTTTCACCCTCGTTCTAAAAGATATTTTCACTGAGTAGAGCTATTATTTTCTCTCTTCATGTTGGAGAAGAGTCCAATTTCTTCTTTCTGTCAGAGTTGTGGACAAGAGTTCAGCTGCCTACTGTTACCCACTTCTTTGGAAGCTAATCTAGTTTTGGTTTTTTTTTCTTCTTCTTCTTCTTTTCCTCCTCCTCCTCCTCCTACTTTATCATGGAAGCATCTTATTTCTCCATCCATTTTGAAAGAGAGTTGTTCAAAGTTTACTATTCTAGGTTGGAATTCGTTTTCTTTTTTGGCTCCAAATCCCTCACTGCAAGCTCTCCTTGACCTAAATATTTCTATTGAAATGTCTGCTGTGATGCTGTTTGGCTTTCATTTGCATGTGTGGTGTTTCTTTTATTAAACTGCTGGTAGTATTTTTTTCTACTGTTGTCTTTCTATGTTGTTAACTGGTTACTTCTAGGTGTAGGTACTGTTAGGGAATTGATCATGTTAAAGTATGCTGTGACGTCACCTCATAGGCTGCATTCTCCTGGTACATCTTGGCTCCTTTTCTCTGGTTTCCCTCCCCCTCAAGGCTGCAGTGGCCCAGGAATGTTGAAACCTGTGTCTGCAGGACTGGGCCCATAAAAGCAATCTGGCCTGTGATAGGTTAAAAGTAGCTCACTCCTCATAAATAAGCAATAGCCCACCCCCAAACTGATAAAAGGACCTTCCTTTCTTTGTTCTTCTCTCTCCTTCTGCTGCTTCTTCCTCCTCCTCCTCCTTCTTCTTCCCTTGATGCCCAGGGCCTCACACCTATGAGGCAAACACTCTACTGCTGACCTACTTCTCAGCTCCAATCTATTTCTTTTTCTATGCCTGTTTTTAAAAATGTTAAAGCTGGATATGTGGTGCACGCCTGTAATTTCAGCGCTCTGGTAGGCTGAGGTAAGAGGATCAGAAGTTTACATCCAGCCTGGGCAACTTAATGGGAGAACCTGTTTAAAAAAGAAAAGGAAAAAAAAAAAAGGCCTAGGGATGTCCTTGGGTTTGATTTTTAGCTGCAGAAAGAATTTTCCTTTCTTTTTTTAAAAAATAATTCCATCATGTTTTCGAGCTATAGATTTTTTATTCTTTTTGTTAGGCCTTTTGTATCGGTGCATGAAGGTTTCTTTTTCTTTTGAGATGGGGACTTGCTATGTAGTTCAGGCTGGCCTTCAACTAGAGGCAATCCTCCTGCCTCATCCTCTCCAGTGCTGGGGCTGCAGGCATATGCCACCATGCCTGGCATGAACGTTTCTTTAATTTTGGAAATTGAGCAGCCTTGGTGTCTTTGAGTATTGCTTCTACAATCTTCTCTGTCCTCTCTTCCTGGGACCCCCAATACTTCTTTCAGCTTCTCACACCTTCTCTTCTATGCTCTTTCATTATATTTTGGAGGGACATCCCTGGTCTATACTTTAGTTCACTATTTCTCCTGTACTTACTCATCTGCTGCCGAATATGCTCACCGGATTTTAATTTTGGTTTTTACAGTTTGCATTTCTAGAGATTTGGGTTGTCTTTCAAAACTGTATCACTTTGCACGGCTTCTCGCTCCCGGAAGGTGTTTCCAGGCACCTCGGCTCCCTTAAGCCAGGTAAGCTGATGGCACCATGGGTCTGTGGCTGGCACAGGTGTTCTGCGGGTTTCCGCTGGTGTGCACTGCGCCTTTGTGTGCAGTTGTCTTCGGTGGCTTGTTTAGTGTGCTTGAAAAATGATTTGTGAGGTTTTTCCCAGGGCCAGGAGAGGGAGGATGTGTCTTTCTTCACAGTGGTTTGACTGGGCAGAGAGGGTGGTGGTTAGGGAGACTTCAGCCCAAGCTGGGTGTCTTGTTACCATCGTGTGATGTGTGGACATCACTGCGACGTGTGTCACTGGCATCATAGTAAGAAATTGTATTGCAAACCTAGATTTAGAGCCAGGAGTCCAGCTAAGGGAGCATTACATCCTCACAGGTGTGCTGTCAGGATAGGCAAGGTTAGGCTGCAGTGACATGTGGTGACAAAGCTTCAGGGCTTAAAGCAACAAAGGTTTCTCTTTCCCCTGTCATGTCTGCGGCAGGTGTCTGGGTAACAGAGGGAGGCAGCTCTGCTCACCGTGGTCCAGGGAACCCACACTGGCGGGGCCTTGCAGCAATGCACGCTGTCTTCTGGAAGGATGAGGGCTGTGGCGGATCGTGCACTGGCTTCTAAAGCCGCCACCAGGAGGTGGCAAACATGACTCCCACTGGCATTTCACTGTTGAAAGTGTGTCCGTCCCGTGGCTACACCTCCCTTGAGGAGTCGAGGAGGGAGCATCCCACCCCGTGCCCAGAAGCAGACTAGGAGCTTTGTCAAGCATCCCAAGTACTTCCCCAGTCTGTCTTTGTCACCCGTGCTCATTTCCCTCTTCTCCACACACTCACAACAAACTCCTCCCTCCTCGAAGGAGAAAACCCAAGTCCCAGCTCAGAGGTGGGGGTTGAGAGCCAGGTCAGTGCTTATGCGGGGCTTCTCGGGATCAGTAGGTTGGTGTCCCAGCAGGTTCGTGTCTCAGGATTCTAGTATCCCCAGCCCCGCTATCTCCCTGGGGAGGGTGCCCTCTGTGCCCAGCCTACCAGCCAGTCTGGGAAATGTAACTTCAAACTATCCACAGGCCAGAGCGCCCATTTTCTGCTAGCCCGCAACTCCGTACCGCAGGGGCCATGGCGCCACCTCCTGGGAGCACAGATCGTTGAGCATCTGCTCTTCCATTGGAGGCCCACAGGCCTTTGCGTTGGCAGGGCCACAGCCCTACTCGTGGTCAGGTAAGGGCAGCCCAAGATGGAGGACTCGGCCCCTGCATGTGCAGATCCTACCACGAAATCACGTCACAAGGAGTGGGGCATTACTTGTTTCAGCGTGCTTTGTGGCTGAGCATCCATTGGTCGGCAGGCGCAGTAAGTCAGTGAGAGAGAGAAAGGGGGTGGGCGAGGGAGGGAGAAAAAGAGAGAGCAAACCCCGGGTTGTTTGTGCTTCTAATCAATGTCCTGAATGATCCTCCGGCCCACAGCCTGTGCCAGCATCTACTCTGAGCCTGTGACCTGGCAGGCCGCTCACCATGGCAATCCGTGGGAGAGAGGGAGGCACTCACATCTGTCTGTTTTTGTGTTTTTTATTTTTTTTTAAATTTGTTTGTTTTTGAGACACGGTGTCACTGTGTAGTTGAGACTGACCTGGAACTCACTCTGTATCCCAGGCTGGTCTCGAACTCACAGCGATCCTCCTGCCTCAGCCTCCTGAGTGCTGGGATTACAGGCATGCACCACCATGCCCAGCTGATCCATACTATTTTTGGAAACAGTTCTGTGTCAGCTTTAAAATTGACTCCAATTGCTTCTTGGGCTTTTGGCTAAGATCAAGATCAATTTCTACTTCTCTTGAAGCATTCCCATTTTTCTAGAAAAACATTCTGTTGTGCACTGAACCGTACCTCCCTCTAATTCATATGTTAAAGCCCTGCCCCTCATGGTGATGGTACTTGAATACAGATGCTTGAAGAAGAGAATGAAGCTTTAAAGGATGGGAACTTAATCAAACCGACCGCTGTCCTTCAAAGATGAGGAAGAGATACCTCTCTCCTCATGCACCCAGGAAAGGTCGTGTGAGAACACAGAGAAACTGATGTCTACCACCCCACCTGCACCTTAATCCCGGACCTCCTGCATCTGGAACTGCGAGGAAGCACAGTTGTCTGTGGTATTTTGTCCCGGCAGCCTGAGCTAAGACAGATTCCTTTGCCACCCCACATGCGTTTAGTATTCTCTCTTGATTGGAAAACTTTCTTCTGGGCTTGCCTTCAACTCACCTTGCTCCTCTCCCGCTGTGTGTGTTTGCTCCCGCTCACTGGTTTCCTGAGCCCCTCCTTTAATCGGGCATTCTCAAACCTGGGTGTCTTACAGCGATTTCAAATAGCCACACCTGAAATCAGTCACGTCTACTGATTTTTATATTGTCTGTTTTATCAGTTTTTATCTTTACTTTTATTTCTCTCCCTGAGTTTATGTTGTTGCTTATGTTCTGGCTCCTTGGGTTGGAGGCTTCATTTACTTCCCGTCTTTCTTGGTGAATGACAAACCGCTCAGAGTAATGGGCTTTGGTTACACACCCTAAGCTTTGCTACACTGAGTCTCGATTGTCATTATGCTCTGAATGGCCTGTAAGTGCACTTCTCCTTTTTTTAAATTCATGTTACTAAGGAATAAATTTCCAAGTGATTTTATTTATTTATTTTTATTCTTTGGTGTTATTGACTTTCTGTTTTATTGCTTCGTGGGTAATGTGGCCTGAAAAGCGGCTGCTTGTTAGTACCACTCAGGAGCTGTTTGTGGCTCACGATA